GTTTTAGATGTTTTCCCCTTCCAGCACATCTGGTTTCAATAACTGAACTTTGTGTTATTAACTCTGCAAAGGCTTGGAAACAAACTCCTCAGATAAATTAGCTGAATTCAACCTCAAATGTGGAAAAAGCTGGAATTTATTCATTAACAACTAAGATTCATCGGTAATGTCGTCCAATTGTACATGAGCTGCATGTAATACCAGATTCCTTTTAAATTCAAATAGTTCAGGTTGTTGACAGTTTGATATGTATCTCAAAGTTCCAAAAGAGTTAGCAAAAATATGGAAAAGTAGAGAATTTATGTTTTTTCTTGGCTTCAGTAAGTTTGAAAATTATTTGCATTTCAAGATTTTATTCCCTATTCCATGTGAAGAAAAATAAACATCCATCCATATATCCAGTTTGGTTTATTTATTTATTTAAATATTCCATAATTAGGGCTGAGTCACTGTGAAAACATTTGTAACTCATAGTGGTTATACTTCAGTAGTGACTCATAGTTTGATTAAAAACAATAAAAACTTGAGTATGTACATGTATAAAATTCTGACAAGGAAAATATTGTCAGCTTCCTAAAAAATGGCCTATGTTTTATTTATTCATTTATTTTTATTTTTTGCCAAAAGAGATTTTGTTAAAAAAGATAATTTAGGCAAAAAACCCATCACTTTTGGAGAAAAAAATAAATACGCAAGTCATTATTTAAAGAAGGCAACTATATGTAAGACTAGTTACATGGAAAACAGTAACCAGTGAGTTTAAATTCACTGGGTGAGGTGTTCCCTCTAGTGGAAACAGATCGACACTACAACGCATATTTTGTTAATTGAATATTCACTCGGTTGTAGAGTTATCAGCACGCTTTGAACTATTAAATCGTTTTCTGAATGCATTTTATTCATGCGTGAATAAAAGGCGACGTGAACTCGGAGTCAGAGGACGTAAAACTTTATTAATTTCTTATAAAAATGTCACAAAAATTCTTAGAAATTCCAACAGGTCCTTTGGGTTTATCCACAGGGAGATCAGGCCTGTTTCACAGACAACGGGGAACGAAGCGAGCGCACTATTGCATCATTATTCAATCCTCCCAGTTTGATCAGCTGCTGCGACCTGTACACGAATCCACCAGCAGAGGACATGCTGCCTCCGTTGAACTCCTCCTTCCCTCTACCTACATCCCTGACTCCTCCTTGCTCTCCTCCGTTTACTCCCTTTACTCCCCCATCCTGCTTTCCCCCCCATTTTTTTTAAATTCCCTCCCCATTCTGACCCTTCGTGTCCCTAAGCTCTCCTTCTCTGATTGGTTCCAGACGTGCCACTGAGCTCTTCTTGCCGACTCAACATTCCACAGCTGGAGACCGCGTACGCACATCTCACACACGCACACACACACGCACTCACACCTCCTCCCTTCCCCCTCAATCTTGTTTTTTTTTTTCCTCCCTTTTTTTCACAGCAGCTTAGTGAAACACCAAAAGCCTCAGACTGAAATGGCTCCAAAGCATTCCTGCAAGCAGAGAGAGGGAGAGAAATGCACTCAGAGACAAGAGCAGGAGAAGGAGGTTACATTTTTGAAATCTTAACAAGATGTCAAAAACACACTACAGATGGTAGGTTTCTGAATTTGGTTTTAAAAACTCTTTGGCACTGAAATATGTATATACACGATTGAAGATGTTTTCTTTTGCGGCCGGTCAAAGAGTTCAAGTGTTGGCAATCTCTGCAGGACAAGTAAAGCTGCTTCCAGGTAAGAAAAAAAAAAAAAGCATCTTCAAAGCAAAAACCGAGCTGATGCAACAAACAGAAACGTGATGAAACACGAAGCATTAGACCGCTTTGAAATGACAAACCTCTTTTTATAACACAATGACTGCGCTCAAATAAAAAACAAAAAAAACTGCCGAATCAGCTCCAGATGGAGGCACAAAGAGCCAAGGCAAACAAAAGTCAAGAGTCACAGAGCAGAAACTGCACGCCACAAAATTAATTTCAGGCCTTGATGGCTCCAAATTCTTATCACGCATCAAAACAACCCCCCCGGGTGTGTGCTGCACTAAAAAAAGACAATGTAGTCCATTTAAAGAGCAGCTTTCAATGCAAAGTCCTACTTATGTGCACAATTATAGTGTTCGCCCTCAGACGCTTCGAGGTCAGCAGCCCTTTTTTCTTTTTTTTTTTTAACACTTTTAGCATGTTCACATCTGGACTTCTTTTCTTCCTCCTGCGCCTGACAGCCTTTGCTGACGTGTCAGGTCGGAGAAGAGGGAGAGAGGCAGGCTCATGAAAACCACACACACGCATCACGGCTTACGCTTCTCTACAGCTGCACACATAACGACAAATCCAATGAAACAAATGGAAAAAAAACAAAACAAAAATGCATTCAAGTCTGGGTTAATACTGACATGACAACACAAAAGAAATCTTACAGAGGAATGTGGTCGACAATGGAAACAAAGTGGATTTTAGTCTTTTCGGTCCGAGTAGGAGCAAGACTGGAAAACTCTGTGTGGTAAAATTGACTTTGGAAACAGGCAAGAAGTTATTTCATCAGACTGGTTTTGCAATCAGTTGCAATAAACCTGTTCACAGTCGATCAATTGTGAACTGCCTACGCATTTTAGAAAAAGCAGATGGATGTATCTGATTTGTAGCTTTTTTTTTTTTTTAAATTGTGATATTCAGTTTAAAAATGGAAACATCTGCTGTGCTCCACACAGCTTCTCGGCATTAAAAAACAAAACAAACAGAAAAAAAAAACAACAACAACGTTTTGGTTTAAAAAGGGTAAGAAAACAATCTGAGTCTCTCCGGTGCCAGTTGGGGTCCAGTCCAGGGTCGGTCCAGAGTTACTCCGGCTGCTCGTTCAGCTCCATGTCGGACACCAGGATGTTCTTCTCGGCTTGCTCGTCGAGACCTGAGTTGGTGCGGCTGTAGCGCGCCCCCTCGAAGGAACCCCGAGACCCTGCGGTTCGCCGCCGGTACAGGTAGATCACAGTGGCTATCAGCAGAAGCAGCACCAACGCCGTCACTATGACGACGATCAGAGTGGGCAGGTGGTCGACATCCACTGGGGAAAATGAAGCAATTTTTAGTGCTGTGCAGAAGACAATCAAAGGAATCAAATAAATGAATAAATAAAAAGCTGTTTACATGTTGTGGAGGATGAGTCTGCACCTACAAATGGAAAAAGTACAAAATTAATAAGAAAACTGTTTCTGAAGGAGTTTCAGTCCATGTATTTTATCTTGGTTTTAAATGACCAATAGAAGGTTCTGTTATAGCCTTGTGCAGTATGTTATTATTATTATTATTATTATTATTATTATTGTTTATCTTGTTTTTTTGTTAACGGCTTTTAACAATTTTGCAACCTTTTGTGTGAACCTATGTATCTGCTGCTCTTGCTACACCTGAACTTCCTCTTTGCAGTACAATAAAGGCGGTTTCTATTCTATTCTAAGGTAGAACGTAACTATGAAATGAAAGGAAATGATACATAGCTTTCAAAATATTTCATGCCATTTAGTGTTTTCTGTTTATTTCATTCATTTACAGTTTAAAATGGACATGTTCTATCTTAACATAAACAAAAGTTTTACATGAAAAATAATTTGAAGAAAAAAATATCTTATATGTAATCTACCCATTCTCTCCAAAGTCAATTTGACATGCCATAAACAACTAATGATCAATCAACCATCCATATAGATACATCAATAAACACAAAACAGGAAATGTGGACGTATAAAAATAATAATAGCAAAGAAAAAATATACTCATATTTTATGTGTAAAGATGAAGCACTACACTGAATCAATAGATTTCATTATACGTTGATAAAATATTACATTTTATAATTTTCTTAAAAGTAAAAGTTGGTCTTCCTTGTCCGGTTTCTTTAGACAAATTTGTTCCCCAAACAGAAACACAACGTTCCCTTTTTTTAGTTCTGACTTTAGATTTCTTTTTTAAATCTCTGATCCTCTCAAAGTATAAATGCTAACTCTTTGAATAAGTCTCTTTCAAATGCGCTGGTAATATGCCGTTATGTGCTTTAAGCGTAACTTGCAGAATACAATAGTTCACCAAGTCGTGAAATTGGAATGGAATAAAACTTTCGTGGTTGTAACTTGAAAGAAATGTGGAAAAGTTCGAGTACATTCGCAATTCATTGCATGAACTGCGACCGTCTTGTGTTCATCGTGTGTACGTACTGCGAGGCCGTTTGCAGATCACCCCGTGCGTACGATTTCTGCAGGAGTCGGGCGTCCACCGGCCGCTGTTGCTCTGGATCAAGAAGCAGGAATTGATGGAAAGCATCGAGAACGCCACCTTTCGCGTTTCCCAGTTGGTGAACGACATCTCGGTGTCTTCGTTCCACACCAGGCGTCTCTCTGTGACAGGAGCACGAAGGGTGATAAGAGAAACTTGGGGAGGAAAAAAAGGACACCTGCACAGCTGAGTTCTGCCTCAGCTGTGCAGTTTTATTGGATTTAATCTCCTCATTAACCAAGCTAAGTATATTTCATGCTCTTTCGCCCAATTTGCACTGATTGATAACAACACATTTCAAACAAATGATGTTTTACAGGATGGGTCACCTTGCTTCGTGATAAGAGCTGCTCATCAGAATTCCTTAATGAAATATTAACTTAAAATGTAATCATATTCAATAAAGAAAATGCTCTAAAAATAATTAAAGTGCAATGAATAAGCCTGTATTTTTAAGCTGTGAAGGCAGTGCTGCTGGACCTTTCATGCTGATGCCCAGCCAAGCTCCCTTTGCCTGCTCTGCATAACTCTGGATGTGCTCCCATATGAAGCTGTTCTCTGCCTCGTCCAGGATGGACAGAAGCTCTGCTCCCACTGATGGAAAAGAGAATAACACAAACACAGATGGATCAAAACTAAATCAAACAACTGCACCATATGCTCAGTAAATATATGAGGATACTGATGTCATGTTAATTAGCTTCACTATGGAGAGAGTCCAAGGTGGCAGGTTATGCGTATGGGCTGAGTGGGGAAAGTCGGGGCGGCTCGGAGCTGCTGCTGTAAAGCTTTCTCACTTTTCTTGCAGGATGCGAGCGCGTCCTGCTGCAGTTTAAGAAGCTGCAGGTTGAACGCGTAGCAGTGGTTCCTGAAGGGAACCCAGGCCCACTCTCCCACAGAGTGGGGACAAAGTCCGGGGTAAATCCACTGATGGCTCACAGGCTCATCTGTAAGGATGGAAAAAAATAAAATCAAATAAAATGAAGTGAACAAACGACACTTGCTTTAAACCCATGACTATGTATTTATACTTTGCTTAACATGGGGCTAAACTTCTTGTAATCTTTTTAAATGCTTAGTTTAATAACAGTTAGTTTAATGTTTTTCTTGCAGGTACAGTTTGTACAGTTTTGGCATTTTGCTTTTTTCATTTAAACTTTAACATTATGTGCGTACTGTAAGCTCTTTCAGTTAAATGAGTTAAGTCTCACTGTGGTTTCATTACAATATGACACAGAGACCTGTTTCCCTTTAAAACAGAAAGACACAAGAAAATGCCAATTAAATTAACCAAAGTTTATCAAAATGTATTTAGAAAGCATTGTCTAATGTCTCACATTGACCAAAGTGCAAAAAAATAACTATTTAACTACAGCACATGTGTACTAATAATCAGAACTCAGTTGTCTACCATTAGAGCAATATATAACTTATTTAAATTGTTGAAATTGTGACAAAAAAAGCCACTGGCTTGCTTAGTGTGGGCTGAGATACAAACCACTAATTTGACATATAGCAGCGTCCAACTTAGCATCGCAGGGAGTCATGGTCCACTGTCCTGTGGTGGTCATGTGTCCACATCCGGCCATCTGATTTGGCTGTCCGTCTTTCCAGTTGGAGTATTTCACTTCTTCATCGCCTAACCACGTAAAGCTTCGTCCCTGAGCAGACATGACAGAGCAGGCGGATTTGTTACACTGCAAGGAAAACAAAGTCAAAGAGAGAGAGATCAGTGAGTTTGTGGGCTTACGCCATAGTTATAGAGCGAAATCCAGGCTGGCTGGTGCAGGCTGCTGATGAGCAGCGTCAGGTAGGCCTGCTGGTATGGATCCTTCACGACCGCTAGCGTCCCGTTCAAAGATTCGCAGAGGTAAAGAGCGCCAGTCCAGTCAAGGCGCTTCTGCACAACCCGATATGTCACTCCTCCCAGCTCCACAGGCTCCGACAGGGAGGAGGGAATGAGGGCCGGAGCCGGAGGCAGGCTTCGATCTGAAGTCAGACATGATGATTAGGAAGTGTTTTGCCAACTCATCCGCAGCACACTTCTCTTCTGGCTGTTGCTGATCATCGCCGCACCTGGCTGCTTTTGGCATATGAATCCATTGTTCTCCAACGGCGTCATCTCACAGGCTCGGGAAGCCCACATCCCGGTTTTCCTCTCTGGGTTGCCGTGAATCATCACCACGCAGTTTCCCTGAGACAGCGGTGAGACATCAGAACGGCAACAAAACGCCGACGAAAGCACAACCTGAATAGAGAAAACTGGGAATACCGGTGTCTTGTTGTGGTGGGGCCCGCTGTTGTCGACTGGCTCTCCTGGCGCCCAGTTGGTGTAGCTGAGCAGGCCAGTTTTGGTCCACCGGAAGTGACCTTTGGAGTCTGAGGTCAGACCCACCCAGAGGTCAGTGCTGACGTTCTTTAACAAGGTGGTGATGAAAGCTGGGGAGGAGAGAATCAGCTGTACCACGTCCGCTTTGCATTGCTGATCGTGCCTTTACTCCACGACTTGTAGTTACCTTGATCTAAATGATTGGACACCAGAGCCAGTGTGCCTCGCTGGCTTTCACATTTGAGCTTGGCTGCAGACCATGTGACCCGAGTTGACTCAAAAACTTTGAAACACTAAGACACCATAGATTTTGTTTCAGTAATTTGATGCAATACATAAAATGATCTTGAAATCGAGGTAGTATTGATGCACCTTATGCTGATAGGGCGACCACCCAGTAGGACAGCCAGAAGGTGGATGAGGGGACGATGGCGTCGGAGGAATAGTGCCGGTGTCCTTCACCTGCTTACAGATGTAAGGCAAGTCGGAGTGACACTTCTGATCCGACCAGTCTCCTGTGTACATGTGGCAGAAACACAAGCTCACCTGTTGTACATCTGCTCGTACGTGGTTTAGTCTGATCAGATCTATTTTCTGGCTGATTTTACCTTTGCTGGTTGACATGTAAATGCACTTGCGGTCGCGGCTGACTGGTTGCGGCTTGCCAAGCGCCCAGGAAACGTAATTGAGCACAGAGTGGTCGGACCAGCGGAAACGTCCGTCGTTTTCGTAGGTGTGAAGCCCAAGCCACCAGCTCGGCTCGGACTTTTTCTGTGGGGGGAGGCAGAAGACAAACGCTCAAAAGTAGTTAAGGTGGGATGCAATTATGAATTCGCACGTGTCTTTTCCGCAGAATGGACAAATTGGCCCAGAAATTATTGTGATAAATGATAATATTGTCATTTTGAGACCATTTTGAACTAATATGATAATGGCATAAAACTGGACAATAAATTGTACCAGAAATGATTGCGATAAACAATAATATTGTTGTTATTTTCAAGTAATCAACTGATAATGGTATAACAATGCAAGTTTGCCCCCTCAAAGATGTATAAACTTTATATTTAACAGAACACTCCACACTGGAACTGGAAGACATATTACATTTCCAAAATAAAACACCACTGACCAGCAATAAACAAAAAAAGGAACTAAAAACCACAAACAATTGAAACCATGAATAAAATGGATTACGATGTCTCTGTAAACAAAATAGCATGTTGAAAAATATTGATCAGAATGGAAATTATTGTGCTCAGTTTAATTTATCATGCAATTAATTTACCAATTTCTTATTGTTACACCTAATTAATAGCCTCTTTGAAAGAATCAGAAATATATATAAAAAAAAAGCAGAACCTTGCTTAAATTGTTGGCCAGGAAAGCCTGCTCCTCAGCTGAGTGAACTGAAGCGAGCGAGGAGTCGAACCAGGAGCAGATCCTCTGGGCCTGATCCCACGTAGTGCGATGGTCGAAAAACCTATACTGAGCCTCCTGGAAGGTGATCCACTCTGGAGCAGTATTTCCTAACAGATAATAGAAAAGATTTCAGTGAGTGAAAATAAAAATTGAAACCAAAAGGATAAGTTGAACAGACCTTCTGTCACTTCTGGTTCCAGCTCAGCACTTCCTGAAAAAGAGAAAGGACAAGGAAAATAAATTAGACCTGAAATAAAGAGCAGATTTGTGTCATGCACTAGAAATAAAAAGTTACAACAAAGAGAGAAGTAAATATTTAAGAAAATTTTCTACATTTAATGTAATGTAATATATTCTGCACAACTTGCATAAAAACAACAACAACAACAACAACAAAAAAATCTGCAATAACCTTTAAAATACGTGCATACAACACCAAGCTAACACTTTAAAACCTTTCGGTCCAGTAGCACCATTCAGCCTTCACGTTCACACCTGCCACTAATGACACTGGATCAGAAGTCTAGCAGCCTATGCTGTTTGCAAAGACGTTAAAAAAGATCAAGATCTTTTAATTGTACAAAAGTACCAGTCAGGAAAAGAGCAGCAAAAAAATCCACAGTTTCAGCTTTGTACTTGTAACTTAAAAGGCTGATAGAAATTCTAAAAGTATTTCTGTTTATTACCGATTCTGTTCTAATCTTCTGTATTCTCTGTGGCTCTGGACTAAAGATCTTCACTAAATGACAAAAGCTCTTTTTCTTTTTCAAAGAAAACATCCAAGGGTTTGGCTTAAATCTCCTAGATCCTTCAGAGCAGATGTCTTATGGTCTAAAGAAGCCAAATTTGGCCAACAAAGAATAGATTAGACAAAAGAACACCATGCCTACGATGAAATGTGACGAGAGTTTTCCCTCAGATGAAACCAAACTTTTGGGGGATTTAATAATGAACAGGTCCAAATTTTTCCCTTAACTCCATGAGAGCATGTACCACAATACCCATTTTGGAAACTTGAATCTAAAATGATGAACTTATAAATGAGCAAAAAGTGGAAGGTTTTAATTAAAAAAAAGGTGTAGTGATTTCATACCTCTGGGAATCTTGCAGATCCAGTCCAACTCGGAGTCACAGTGCATGGCCAGCCAGGTCATAGTGCCCAGGTCTGCCGCAGCACACTGCCGGATGTTGTAGGAGTAGCGCCCAAAGTTCCGGTATGTTAACTGAGATACGAGTCGAGAACAAACAACGTTCTCTTCAATCATTTGTGTCCACTTCTTTTGGAAATGATGGATGTTTGGAGAACGTTTTCACCCACAGGAAGTCCGTCGCTCCACTTCCAGCTGCCATTATCATTGGGATTCCTGCGGTTCAGACCGATCCAAAACCAGTGCTGCTCATGCTCTTCTGACTCCCTATGGGTGTTAACGTGATCAAAAATAAATAAAATTGTAAAAAAAAAAAACATAAAATAAATCCATATATTCATATATTTTGCATCATTATGTGGAGAAAGACGCAACTTTGGTTCACATCAAGCCGTTTTTTTTGTCACAGCTACAGTTGATTTTAACTTTTTAATTATTCTGACTATAGATTATATTATTTAGGTTATCAAAACAAATCTAATTAACTTTTCTGACATGTTCTCTTTTCTTTCCCATTTTGTAAAGGTGGTTTGGAGAAATGAAACTTCATTTTAATAATAATAATAATAAATCTTTAATGAAATTATTTTCTAGAAATTGGTTTGGGTGTCAATAATAGCGGTGCCAATAGTTTTCAGAAATGTTTATTGTGAGCATATGCCAAAAGATAAAATGATTTTAAAGCTTAACAAACATTACCATGTGCTCAAAGGTTTGTAGAGGGTTCTATAATAAAACCACGAACAACAATGTAACATTTCCAGGATTTCTCATGAAAATTTTGAAAATTTCAAACCTTTTCTCTCTTTTAATGTGGCACATAATGCTGCAACCTTTTTTTTTTTTTTTTTTTTTTTTTTTTTTTTTGCCAATTTCAACATTTATTTGCATGTCACAGACGATACCCACCCAAAATTCTCATGGAGGACCTGCAGGACGAACTGCTCCTCCTCAGGGCTGGTGATGCTCAGCAGGTTGGCTCCGTGTTTCCGGCAGAACAGGTGAGCATCCAGCCACTTCAGCTTCTGCTCCAAATGGGAGGAGTGAAAGACCTGCACACAAACCTGACGTCAGTCCACTCACATCTGCGACAAAAACTGTTTCCCCGACTTACGGCGAGGTGTCAATTCTTCGTGCTGCGGCTGTGAAAGTGTGCAGGGTGAACCTTGTAGCAGTAGCGCAGGTTGCTGTTGCTCTTCCAGTCCTTGGGACAGGCGCCGCTGAGGCTGGGGGTGGGCTGAGGAGCGGGGGGCTCGGGGCTCAGAGACGTGTCCTGGTTCTGGCGGCAGATGAACTTCGCCTTCGCCGAGGCGCACTCCTTCACCTCCCACAGACCCATCGCAGAGCCGGTTGCCATCACAACACAGCCACCGCGGACGTTTGCTAATTCAGATGGTTGGAGGGGGAGATAAGTGGAAACTCAGATTTCTTACGAGTGGAGAAGTGTTTGATCTTTTCTCAAAACGCACAAAGCACATCAGCGCAGTCTGTGCGTGCTCTGCTGCTCTCATTGTTCATATGAAAAGAAAAAAAAAATGTGTTCATTCCTGCTTGGCAGGTATTTAATACAATCAACCTGCTCTCTCTCACACATGTGTAAAGATATCTGCTGACGCAAATTAATGCGAGGATTTTACTGTCCATATAAATGTAGGTTACCAAGACAACTGTAAAAACTTCATGAAAGATTTAGGGTTTGTTTATTCAGGTTTTCAAAAACTCCCGTTTTATCAACGAAAGCACCAAGGCTTCAAACTAAGAGAAAGTCACTGAGTCAATATATTTTTGAATCGATCGGTTCAACCATGCCTGTTTTATGGACACATCTCTGAAATTATGTCTTCTGTGAATCAAATTTCCATTACAGCACAGTTAGTTCTCCTCTGCTGAGGGTTTATTAAGATGTACCGTAACTCCATGTGTGGAGTTATTTTGCTAAATAAATCCAAAATTGGCTAAGAGTCAAAGTGGAACCTTGAATTTTGATAAACTGAAAATCTCAGTCGATTAGATTGAACTCCCCCCGAGAAAGAAAACTAATCAATGAAAACCATTCAGAGAAATTAGAAAAGTGAAAAGAGAAAGTAGATATGGAAACAACTGAAACATAAGAGAAAACTATTTTAAAAAAGCAAGTATAAAACCAGGAAGCATTTCCTGGTTTTAATTCACTCTTGGACATAATTTCCTGCTAAATAATGAAAAAAAATGTAATTACTAGATTATAAGCCTTTTTATATAAATTCTAAGTGCAAAGGTATAAAAAGATGTAGCAAGAAAATAAACAAACAACAATTCTGGTGTATTTTGAAGTGATGAAATGATGAAACAAATGCCTAACCACACAGACTGAATGTTGTTCTGCTTTGGGTATTGTTGCAGCCACAAATATTATAAATTATAGACTATTGATCAAATTAGTTATTTTTCACAAAGCAATTCGGTAACACTTTATTTGAAGGGGTGTGCATAACTCTGACTTGACACTGTCATAACATAAAGAAGTCTTAATGAATGTTTATGACAGTTGTCATGAAGTGTCATTCGGTAAATAATGACACTTTTAATGCAAAGTTGCTCTAAACATTGCATTGAAAGTGCATTAAAAAGGGCAACTTTGCATTAAATTATCATAATTTACAAAATCATGCAAAGTTGGCACTGTGATCGTCGCCTATGTTTGCATCTGATTGACCCACATAGTGTGTCCATCTAAAGAAAGTGGCATCTGCCTGCAGAGCTGAATAGGACTTACTGACGGGGGCTGGTTCTCAGGGCTCGCACTAAGTGTTTCTGCAGGTTGTAAACATGTGTCATATTAAGTGAAGGAAACAACATCTATCATTAAAATTGAGATTTTTTTTTCAGGCAGAGCAGCGTCGGCTATGCAATTTGTGTGAGAATAACTATTTCGGAAGTGAAACGTGTAATTTTGCAGCCCTTCAGAACTTTCTCAAACATCAGGCTACATAACCACACAAAACTCATATAGAGATGTTATTAAAGCTGACTTGTGTGACTTACTCGGCTGGTCTCGATTCCAGTGGGTGTAGGTCACTTCGTCTCCACTCAGCCAGCGGAATGACCCGTGAGAAACCTGGTCACTGAGCCCGATCCAAAACGAATCTCCAGAGCGCCCAAACACCAGGCTGCTGGCGAATGCCTGCTCGAATCTTTACGATGAAGCACGAAGCATTTCAATCGGTGCAAATAAGCTTTCCTGTGCATCCAACTGTGTGTGCTCCAGATCTACCTGTTTGTTATAGTAATAAGAGCAGCTTCGTGCGCCTCACAGGATTTCCTGGCCTCATCGAAGGTGGACAGATCTTCTCCGACCGAGTAACAAGCTGGACTGTGCCACTTCCATCCCTGAGAAGACAGCCAAAGAGAGAAAAAAAAAATGTGTTTCTTTTATATCCAGGAAGCAACATCTGACAGATATTGATAAAAAACAAACAGAGGATCCAATCAGTTATAGTGAAGTGAGTAACTGCAGAATGAAATGTTAAAGACAGACACGGAGATAACACTTTCTGCCCTAAATTTTTCCTGCCAGCAGGCAAAGTGAGGGAAGATTCTGCATGAAAATTATAACTTTCAAAGTTGTGAGAATAAACTCTTTTTAGTTTTTTAGTTTTTTTTGCACAAACAAGTTAGGAAATCACTCAAGCTCTATCGAAGTCTGAGCTGACAGATCTGCTGAAACTAAAACCTCTCCTCCCTGTTTCACTGCGGCAAGTTGTTCTGATCAAAAGTGAAAAGCCCATTGAACCTTTTTAACACTTTATCACCTCACAACCACGACTGCATTTTATTGGGACTTTATGTACTTCACCAACACAATGTAGTGCAGTGAAAGGACACGTTTTGCAAATAAAAAGTCTGGAAAGAGAAACATGGGTTGGGATTTAGTGAGAGCTTTATAAAATTCACATTTTGCTCCAAGGAAAGCTGCAAGCCACTTGGGAGCATTTCTCTGCCAACTTTGCTTTTTGCTCATTCAATTGGATGAAGAGCGCTGTGGACATCAATTTTCAAGTCTCACCACAGTTCTCAGTTTAACCAAGGTTTGGACTTTAAGCTCTTCTAACAAATTACTTTTTTTTTTATGTAGACATCTCTAGAATAACTGACTGTATTTTTTTTTAAATAATTTTCCTACTGAAACCTCCAACTCAGTTTTAAGTCAAGTCTTTCCTCTTACTGTATATTTACTGTTTTGCAAGTCTTAGAATTGAATAAAAATGAATAAAAATCAATGCCACAAAGTTTTGTTTGAAAACCATTTAGATAACCATCTACTTTACTATCATACATACATACATACATACATACATACATACATACATACATACATAAAATTCCAATAATAAAAATTTAAGTTTATGGTTGTAAAATGAGAGAATGTGGAAAAGTTCACTGAGGGTATCTCTTAGCAAAATCAGGGCCTAAAACCATGATTGATTAAATAATTTAGACAAAAAAATGCAAGCGGTGCAAACACAAAATTCAGATTTTCATATTGTTTTAGAATCTGGTAGTCCTAAACTCTCCCCCCCCCCCTAGGCTTTAACTTTGCGCTTTACTCTCTCTTTATTCATTTACACATAAAGCACATAAGTTATGCTGAGAAAGAAAAGCAACGCAGAAGCAGGAGAAATTGATCTGCCAGACTGCTCCTCAGGGAGAGAGATAAAACACCATCATTGATCTCCAGACATACTTTTGTTTAAAGCATTAATACTTTAAAGCTATCTGGGGTAAACTAAAAAACACACTGAGGACACACACACGGATTTCCTTTTACCTCGTGACCATGCGTTTACATTTCTAAACACTATGAGCTACGAGAGGCTCAAAGGAGGCGACGATTATTGGCTATAAATTCACAAAAAGATGGAGATGAGTTTAGCAAAGCTGGTCCAGTTTGAGCTGATTTTAGTTTTTTGTGGATTTTAAGCTGAATGTCAAACAAACAGATCATGGTTTTATCCTATCTGACGTAGAATATTCATTTTTACCTCAAAAAGGGCAACAAAACGAACACAAACAAACAAAAGTTTAAAAAGATGTAATGTGTTTTAATGTGATTTAAAAGTAATCATTTCTAGCAGCAAACGCAATGAAAGAAAACGTTTGACACCTGTTTGCACTCTTGGTTTTGGGGCTTCCCGTCGCTCTTTGTTCCCAGCTTCTTGCAGATGAAGGGCAGAGTCGCATTACAGGGGACGTCATCCCAACGGGCTTCCTGCACACAACGGCCGGTTCACGTATCCGAACGGAGAACACTCACACCCAGCAGGGGGGGGGGGCGACTATCTGAGGTTACTCACAGGGCCCCACATGGAGACGCAGTCTTCCTGCGTGTTGCGGAAGTTGTTGGGTTCATACGGATGCCAGAAGGTGAAGATAACGGGGGTGTGGTCCGTCCACTGGAAGTCCATTTGCATTTCTCTGTCATGGAGGCCTATCCACACCTGATCGATGTCTGGATAAAGAAAAAAAAAAAAAAAACAGTAATACTGACTGAGTATCGATTCGGATTTACGAGATTCAATTTGACATACTTTTCGATTCATTTGAGTTCACTTCGATTCATTAGTAAAAATATGAGTGTTTAGACTAAGAATTGAAACTAATGCAATTGCATGACAAAGCAAGCAAAAATGCCGTAATTTAAATGTGGTGCTTTCAATGCTTTTGCGATGTGTGAAAAGATCTACATAACTTCAAGAAATCGTGTAGAATTTTGGGGAAAAGAATCAATGTAAGGTTTCTATTTATCTATATTTGGGCGTTCAAAGGAAAATCAATTCAAATCCATCAATTAATTCTTTTTAAATCCAGCTCTAAAAAAAAATGTGAACAAGATGAAAAGAAGATGACTTTGGAGGTAATAAACCCCTCTGACATGAGGAATGACCAGTATTTAAATTGTTTTCTTCTTCTAAAGCAAACTTTTTCAGTCATTTTGGCATCGTTTTCTAGAATGCACCGGTCAGAGTATCCATTTCAATCCTTAACTCCAGAAGCTGCTACAACACAAACCAGTATCCAGGTTCGGGAAACTGCAGGAAGAGAAAGAAGAGAGTGACGTGCTATTACAGCAAATCACCTTTTTTTAAGTTGCGAATGATAAACTCCAGCTCTGGCAGAGTGTGGATGCTGACCAAGTTGGCGTCCATCTTCTGGCAGGCTTTCTGAGCCGCATTCCACTCGCTCTTCTCTGACGAGAGCTTGTAGCATCCGGCCTGGAAGGACTGCCAGCCCACATCACACTCATATTTGTGATTGTCTGTCCATGAATCTGCAGAATAAAACCCTTCAATTTACTGTGAAGGCTTCGGCCAAACGGAATCTGATTTAGTTAGCTGATGAAAGCTAAATTTATGGACCTGTGGTGAAGGGTTCCAGAGTGGCATTGGGCTTCTTCTTGCAGGCGTACGGCAGAGCTTCAGTACAGTCCCGGTTCTGCCAGCGTCCCGACGATTCAGATTGGACCACGGCACAGTTGTCGTCCTCGGCGTGAGTCGGATGCTCTGTAGTTCAGCAAAACACACACACACACACACACAAAACTTTAGTAAAACCAAACAAACAAAAAAAAAAATCACCAACTCACTGTGGGCGCACTGTAACACTCATAAATGGATCTTTGAATAGAGAGCTCAGCTGTTTCTAAAATGAGTCTGGATGCGGCCCTTTGTGGGAAATTTACAAAAACAAAGAGGTTGGGGTTGCTTTCCCAGTCTGACCTTTATCCCAGTTGAGATATTTGACTGGTGAGGAGTCGGACCACTGCCAGCCGCCGCTGATGTCCAAGTCATTGAGGCCGATCCATAAAGAAGAGCTGTAAGCATTCAGAATACCTACAAGCAGAGGAAATGTGTTTCTGAAATAACACGAGGTTTTATTAAACAAAGTGACGCCTCTGTAATTTACATAGCAAATCAAAAATACAACAAAAACAATGTTAGATTCTAAATATACACAGGAGAGGTCACCGCTTCATCAATCAGGTGAGATGCAAAAAAAAAAATCACCAAATAAATAAAAAAAGTTGCACAATCTGAAAGAATGTGCAAAATCATTCATAATATTTGTAGATGAGATTATTTTTATAAGAGGCACTTCTCACACACACACACACACACACACACACACACACACACACACACACACACACACACACAAAATCATATCAGTTCAATCACACATACTTTCCAATTGATCTTAGTTGACAAACTAATTGTTCAAAGATATTAAAAACATTTCTGTCTTAGGGAAATATGGATTTCATCAGGGAATATGATCTTGATCATGAGAAATCCAAGCTCTATTGTTTCCAGTTCATAATCAAACTGCATTGGATACATATATAGCTTTGTTTATTTATCTATTTTGGTATTAAAGGGAATGAATTTAGCCGTGTTTAGATGGATCTGCTTCCTTCTTCTCAATATGGCACCCCAAATTAAATTTAAATTAACCTAATTGAGCTAAATTAAATGGAAATTTCAAATAAAGACAGCATCATTAATATCAACAACTAATCCAACTATCCTCGAGCTTTGTAGACATGTCCTCGTTAAATTGTCACAATAAAAGCACTGTAGAGTTTAGGCTTGAAAAGGAGAACATATAAAGTTAATCTACTTACCATTGATGTAGGTCTGCTCATGGAGCTTACCGATGCTCAGCAGGTCTGCCCCCTGCTGTTTGCAACTGCGCTGAGCCTCGCTCCAAGACAGAGTGGCCTGGAAGTTAAACTGATAACAGCTGTCTGTCAGGGGGTCCGTATCCCAGAATGTCTCACAGCTGCTGCCTGCGAGGGGGAACAAAGGTCTGAAGTGTCAGCCAGACGGTTCGGATCCGGCAAAGTTTCCCCCACGGGTCTCGTTCTGAGCACATCGGGTGAGAACTTACTCTTCACAGGACAGAACCCCCAGCGTTGGTCCCGGTCGTAGTTAAAGGTGGTTCCGCACCAAAGGTGGCCGTCTTCACGGCCCGTGCTTGTGCAGCTGTGAAACCACTGGCCCTCGTACATGAAGGGCAGGTAACAGGGCCGGCCATAAGAATTCCCCTGGATGGTGTAGATCTCTGGACAGAAATCGTATGAGAGACTGGAAATGCTTGTGTGGGCCTTCAAAGGTGAGGGTCCTAAAGGAGGCGTTTGTTTTCTCAGGAGGCAAAAACAGAGGATGATCTTACAACGAAAACAGGAAGTCAAACAGTGGCGAGCGGCTCTGGGTTTCTTCTTTAATTTTTATTTTTTTCCTTGCAAGACTAAATGTCTTTTATCGTGCGAGAATCATCGGTTATGAAAGACGAGAAATATTTTAGACGTCAATTGAAGGCGTTGTGGAAGAGCACCAGCTTAGAAACACAATAAAACAAGAGGATAAAACAGTAAAAGAAGAGGAGAAACGGAGGAAGACGCTTTCTTTCCAAAACAAATCAAGCCAGTGGAAGGAGAGCAGCCATAAAACCAGAGAGAAAAAGCTTTTCCTCTCTCTGTCCTCCCTCCCCACATCAGGCTGACTGGCTGTATTGGACATGACTAAACCTAGAGGCATTTCTTCTGCACCAGTAGGACTCTTTCACACAGAAACTTGCAAAGATCGCTGGTTGAAAGTGAAAAAGCTCAGAGCATGCAGTTACCCTGCCACATGAAAGCAAAAAAAGAGGAGAGATGATGAAAAAAGTGCAGGGAGATGTTCTGGTTTTGGCTGCAGTCAAGCAGAACCTGTTAACTACAGACTAGGCTTCGCTGAGGCTTGCAGTCGTTCCTGCAAAACATTTAATATCTGCAGGGACGGCGCAGACAGCAGGAAAGGAGGCTTAGCTAAGAGCCACGGTGGTTAGTTTTAATCTGAAATGAAAACTTTACATACAAGCAAATATGCTTGAGGCCAAGGAAAACGGCAGTTTACAAACACTGGCGGGGGCATTCACTGGTGGGCCACTCCGTCTCCTCAAACTTCCCCTGAAAGCGGCGCTCTCTTTTATCCGTTTGATCGGATACAGCTGTGGCATCCACAAACAGTAAGCCCATCTGCCGCACAGAGGCGGAAACACGCAGGAGGGAGCAGCTCGCCGGGTCACTGCGTGGCTGAGCATGTGTTTGGGGAAATGTTCGAGATGCGCTTGCATGTGTTATCCTTAATTTACAGTAACAGAAACGATTTCCAGAGCAAAAAAAAAAAAAAAAAAGAAGGGGGAAACAATTATATTCTGCCTTGTGGAATGGCTCAGTCAGGAAGCAAAGAGTCAAAGCCAGACAACCAGGAATTCATCCGGCTAGTTTAGTTCAGCTTCTTGAATCGTTTGTTTTCGGTTTTTCAGTTCAATAAGCCGTTTAAGGTAATTTGACTTTTAAAATAAAGACTAAATAAAAAAGGTAACTTTGCAATTTCCAACCTCATGACCCAGAGTTCTGCAACTTTTACAGTGCTTTGTAAAAGTACTCATGGTGCTAAATCCTGTCGCAATAAACAATTAATCAATTAATCACATGCTAAATTAAAAGGAGCTCAAAAAATATATTTTTTTAAAGATCATTCTTTCTTACAGAGTCTTCTTAAGCCATTGCATTTATGGTTTTTGTTGTGTGTGGTTTTCATTTCTTGATTTTGGTCGTTTTGTTTAAAACTTCTTCCAGTTCCAGTGTTACATGTTCTTTACAAAATTAAAGTTTATTGATTTCTGAGATGGCAAACCTGCATTGTTATTACTTGAAACTGGTCTCAAGAGAAAAATGTTAACATTTAACACAATAATTTCAGAGACAATTTATCGTCCAGAAACTTTTCCAGATTTTTGTGAGTAAAAATCTGAAAAGTGTAACATACTATGTATAATGCTGCCTTTTTAAGCCAATCCTTTATAAAAAATAAAATAAATAAATAAAAAATTGCATTGCAAAACACAAACACATGAATCTGATTTGATCCAAACAGTTTAATTGTTGTTATTGTATGTTTATTGGGTTACCTTCCAGGACCGTCCTGTGTTTCTGTTATTGTCTTCTCATTCAGTTTGCTAGTCATTTCCTCTTCAGCCATTTGCTGTTTTATTAAAATAAACTTTGATTATACACACTCTGAAACTTGAGCAGCTCCCTCAGACTCACCATGGGGATCTTGACTGTCTGATAAAAGTGAACCAACATGTTTTGGGAGGTTTCCGGCTGTATTATGATTAAATGGCATGTCCAAAGTGGAAGTGGAAGTGGAAGTTGTTTTCTAACCAAATTCTGCTTTAAGTTTTTCCAAAACTTTATCCCTGACCTGTCTGGTGTGTGCATTTGGTCTTCACACAACACATGCACTGAGATTGATTTACACTACATTTACTAATTAGGTAAGCTTAAAGGCAATTGGTTTAGGGCTATTATGGCAAAACAGGCCGAACATAGATGCGCACCATCGTATCCAAATGCTATCAAAATCATTAGCTTTATTCGTAACTTTTGCTAGCAAGGACATAGACAAACAAGAGAAGAAATAGGGACACATGCCTCATCACAATACTCTATAAGAAGGTTTTACTAAAGACATTATTATTTCAGAGACGAATCCTGATCTGTCTTAATGTCCTTTTGGGTTTGGGATTTTATAGTTTGATATTAACTTTCATTTTTTTCATTGTAAAGGTTGTTGACCTCTGACCCGATCCTGCTGAAATTTGGACTCAGGTGGGTGTTTAAATAAGACTTTGTTACCAAACACATCAAAACTGGATTTACAAAGACTAAATTTTGATTTGTATAACTTCAGATTAGATATTTATCACAAACCCAAACTTATCATTTATGCATCAGTAAAACTCCAGATAAGTGACATTAGACATGTGATGCCTACCCTGATATGTCTTGGAGCAGAGATCCTGGTCGTCACCATACAGTCTCCATTTGGCTGAGCCAAACATAGTCGACCCGTTGAAGAATGCCGGGGACTGAAAGAAGTTGTTGAGTTTTTCCAGCACCTCGTCGCAGTTCCAGGTCCAGTCTACCCTGGGGGGCTCTCGATCGCATGTGTATATGGCTATCGGAGGATACTGCGAGTTGTACGTGACGTTCCTGGTGTTCCAACCCAGGCACAACGAGGAGCCCAGGTTGAACAGGCGCCCACGAGACACCCACTTCCATCTTTGGAGGGGATCCTCGCAGTCCGCCGTCAGGCTCAGAGAGTCAGTCATCACCCCGAGGCACATGCTGGTGCCCTCAAGGAAGAACGCAAAGTCATCAGAGTCCACTGGCGCTGTGCAAAGAGAGAGAGAGACGGAAACGGCAGCAGCGGTCAATAACAGGGATGAAAACAGAATTTTGTGTTAACAGCTAAGAGGTCAGGGACCGGATCGTTACCACCAACAGCGGATGCCCGGCTGGGTTTGAACTAGTTTCAGTCCTGGATGTCAATCTGTACATTGCAACGTAGTAACAACTCATCCTCTGGCAATCCTAAAATACCTTCTAATATTCAGAGTAAACATTATGTAACACAACCCGATACGCATAACCGTGTTAGAAGCTGAAGTACCAGTTGCTCGTCCGGTTCATGTTGTACCGGGAAAGCAACTGACAGTGGTTTTTGAGGATGGATGCTTTTATTATGACTAAGATCTGCCGAATGAATTTGAAACCTTCTACATGAGTCAGTGGTGATCTTCCACTTGGTTCGACACAGTGCTTAAAAACGTTTTTAGAAGAAATCTCTTAGAGAGTTTTCCACGTAAAAAGAGATGCGGGAAAGAGAGCCACTACATGGCTCTTTATTCTCAAGAGCCATAAAGACTCTTGAGAATAAAGCAAAAGATGATTTCCTCCAACTACTTTACTATCATTCATAGGGACTGGTAATCAACAAATCAAGACCGTTGAGCAGATAAGTGTGAGACTTATCTGGGACAGAGAGAGACACACACAAGAATCCAAATCAAAAGTGTTTAAAAGGAAAATGGCCAAAATTAACAGAACTCTCTACTCTTGCAGCTGATGTTGAGACAAAATAGAGAAGAACCCTCAGCATTCCTTCTCTGCAGGGTCCGGAAGTGAGTTTGTGAAAGATCCCTGGGCTTTTAGGTAAAAAATATGCCTGATTGGTACCCCGGACAGCTCAAATCCTTGGCTTCCTACCGCCCGGTCAAGAACAAATAACATCTTCTTCTGTTTTTATGCATACAGAGACAATGGATCATCACGCCTGGCATATGAATCACTGTAATTTGAAAGACACGACTGACGCATGTCCCTTTTTTAGCTCCTTACAGCCAGTCTTTTGGGTAAGGTGCGGAAAAAAACAAATTACCACAAATATTTTTCTAACACCAAAAATATTATTTTTGCAGCATGTTTTTTTTTAATTTTGTTTACAAATGCTCCCCAAAAAACCTTGTGGCTTCACAACAAAGCTTTGGTTGAAGAGACAGAGAGACGTCAGACTTGTTTACTTCCAGTTTACTGAGTTCCCTCCACAAGACTAAAATCAAACCAAATGTGTTGCCTTTAAGAAACAAAATAGCAATCCAGTTTCATTAAGGAGTTGGAGGAATAAAGAAAAAGTTCAAATAAGAAGGTGATTTGATTAATTAAAATGGAATTTGATGCTTTAAATCAAGTAATACAAACCAGAACTGGGTCAAACTGGAAAAAGTGGAAGCAAAGACCACCAATGATGTTAAAATTCTGCTGATTTTTTTTTTTAACATCACCCAGTAAAACTTTATCAACGCGTATTTATCAGATATTTAATTAATTGTTTGTCTTGTCTGGTCTGATATTCTAGCACGCAAGAGTTGCATCTACAGCTTTTAATCACATAAAGAGCCAATAAGGTGCACTGCTTGCTGACCCGTAACGCCTGGCTCACTGTGGAAGACAGGGACATGATACTGATCCATAAACTCTAGGCTGTCCTCAGATGTGATCAGCCGCAAAAAAATTCAATCCCATGTTTGCTTGCATTGAGCAAAAGAGGCTGACGATTGTTCTCTTTGACCCGGTCATTCATGAACGAAACATCTAGGAAGTGTGCAAATGTTTTAGGAAGATTAAAAGCAAGTGAATTATTTCACTGAAGAAATTAGAAAAAAATTGCGACGATACTATACTTTTAAGTCACTATGTGGAGTTATTTGAATAGTAAAAGCAGTAAGAATGCTTTTAAACCAAACCAGGTTTCAGGTTACCATCAAATACAAACGTGTGAAGAAGAGAAATCAACAATCAAGGCCTCTAAGCTCTGCTAATAATCATATAAAATATCAAAGTATGCTGAAAATCTATGCTCTACATTCTCAAGACCCAAAAAGACTTAAGTAATCTGCTAACTTTCACTATTTTTCACTTTCTACTTGAACATTACTGTAAAAACCTCTATTTCAGGATTGCTCTTATTCAGTTCATCTCTGCTTTGTGAAAACGGTGATGATGGCCTTGACAACTACACATAACTTAGTCTAAATTCTCTTATTGTGAATAAAAGAAAACATCTTCTTCCATAAACTCCCCTTCTCCTGACCCACAACCTACACAACTCTTTTGTGCACATGTGCGCACACCGATCAGCCTTCAAACAGCACCACAACCTGAAGTCGAAGTTCAAGAAGTCAAGAAGAAAATTCCCACAGGAGCTTTAATCCACACTGGAGAGGACACGGCTGGATGTTTGATGTGAGGAAGCTCCTCGCAGATTAACCCTAAGCCGCCGAGGGCCGTGAAAGTGAAGCAACAACGGCTCTCCTGCTGTTATCTCATCCTCCTCTCCTACTCCAGCACCAAGATCTTCTTTTGCAACGCTGACATCATTTACCAAAAGGAGATGAAACGGGCATTCATGGGCAGCCAGCAACGTTTTCCAAAAGCGTCAGATATTCCCAGAGTCTCCGTCACTGAGGACGTTACGCAACTTAGCTGGCTGACTAAACAACTGCAAGTTTAAGCTTTGAATATTAAGTTTGAAAAAAAAAAAAAAGCTTTACAATGAACTCTTTATTATAGTTGGTAAGACAGACCTTTATTTCATTTGTTTTTCTCAAACATTTTCTGTTCTTTTCGTCTTATCCTAAACACACCTGGAATGAAACAAAAGATCATTTCTAATCACTATGACAAAACAGGAACTGGTATTCTCAAAATCAGTTTTGTCAGTGCTTTGTTTTCCAGAAGCACAGGAGAAAGAGACAGACGAAGAGTGTCCAGGTTTTGTAGGCAGCATGGGAAAGTGGCACCTCAGGAGAAGGGTGTCCGATTTACAAACCAGAATAAGACGAGGAGAACGGAAACTTCCCATCACGGATTCACAGACATTCGTCAAAGTGTTCGTTTACGTTTTGGACTAACATTTCCAGATATTTTCCAACAAATTCTTCCCGGACTGATAAATTACAGACATTTTGCTTCACATTGGGCAAATACTGAAGATCTGCCAAATAAAATAAGGAGAACTCCCCACAAACCTTTTCTCCACAATGAAATCAGAGAGGAGACACAACAAAGCCAAAAAAAAAAAAAGTTGTAAAGGAGCCCATGAAATGCCAACTGTGATAAATCCAAAAGATTTTATTCAACAAACCAGCTGATCTGCAGTTGCTTCAATAGGCATATGGAAAACTAAGCCTTCATAATAAGTCAAAAAGTCTGTTGTCAGTTTGTAGAGTCAACGCATGATGATAATGGAAAGGAAAGCGTGTAGCATTAAAAAATAATAATAATAATAATCAAGATAAAACGTCGTTTTGTTTCGTTCCACATCAATTTGAACCATTTTGAGAAATTTCAAACTGATCTGACCAAATGGTCAAACCCTGTCAGTGAGGTTCTTTTGGTTCCGGAGTGTCCTGGTGTCTGATCGGACTCTCTCTGTGTTAATTGCAGCCTGCAACAGTCAGGACGTAAAGGTCACATCTACCCGCAGGGAGCCAATATGAAGCGTCACTTCACAGTCTGTGGCTTTGCGAATTCAACCTAAATTCCCATCAGGAACACGAAGCAAAACAAAAGCAACCGGGAGTTTAGATTCAAAGGAAACTGTAAAATATAGAAACCGAGCCCCCAGTTCCCTGCTCCCCTCATTTGCCTCCACATCTGGTTCCACTCAATGCTCGGACTTTTAGATCGTAGCATTCCACAACACACACACACACACACACACACGCACACACACACACGCGCGCGCAAAAATCCTAAATATCATTTTGAATGGTGTTTTTTTTTTAAGTCAGACGAGCAAATGAAAACAATAAGTCATTTAGGCTGGATATCTTCACAAACCCGTTAACTTGTGTTGTAAAAAAAAAAAAATCACGCTAAGAGCGTTGTTCTGTTTTTTTGTTTTTGTTTGTTTCTCCTCACCCGTGTCGCTCCTCTTCAGTCCCAGACTAAAGATGAATAAATATAAAGTGCATTTGTAAAATATAAGTAGCCCTTTCGTCCATGTCGGCGCAGCAATCTTGTTTCGGTGTCGCTCGGTGCTTTGCATGCTCACAGCCACAGGAAGACAGACCCAGCAAAAACAACTCGAACGAAGAGAGGAGAGATGAGGGGGGGAAGCGAAGCCGGGGAGCAGCAACTGGCCGAGGGGGACGGCTGATGGAGAGGAGCTGCAGGAGAGTTTTGGCCGCTAGAGCTCAGCCTGCCTCTGCCTCTCAGTCAGATGAGGCTGGAATGAATGGAGCAGAGTCAACAGTGGTTCCCAACATGAGGTCCGGGGGCCTTCAGGTCAGTGAAAGAACTTAAAAAAAAAAAAAAAAAAAAAAAAAAAAAAAATAAAAAATAAAAAATTTTT